TGTGTCCGCTCATGTGTGTGGTTGTTTGTAGGCATGTGGAAAGACCATAATTTCTTCACAAGCCTTGGGGTTAAATAAGATTTTAGGAATGCTTTATTATAAAAAAGATGAAAATTTACCCACACAATGATTCTAAGCATCAAAATATTAATTATTTGCGTGTGCACGTTCGTGTGTGTACATGCATACGTGCATAATTATACACATATACATAACTTATCGAGTTGATGCGTAAGGCACATCCTCTTCTTCCTTTTCCCTTTTTTTTTTTTGTGTTTTTTTGGTTAAGGCTGCAGTTTGTATAGAGTCGAGGCTCTAAACAATCAAAGTAATGTGTAAATTTTATAGTGTCAAGAAATGTGGTTTCCATATTGCAAATCTTTGTGATAGCCTTAAAATATATTCTCATATTTAATTATAAATGTTAAAGCTTCAAAAATAGTGTAGATTGAGTAGATTTATAAAAACTTAAAAAGTCTTGAAAATTGACTGTCCAAAGATGTGATACAAGATGCACTATATCATTCTGCTTTATTAAGGGTCATACCCCTAGTCAGGTTATGTTCCTATATTTTTTCTCACTACTCCACTCAAACTAACTTATATCTTCTAATAGGTGTTGTACTGGGTTTGCGTCATCCAAGGTCAACTCATTTAAGTCTACATTTTCTCCTCTTATCGCCTATTAGTGCCACACCTAAATTCTCCTTAATAAATTTTCTTCGAATTCTATCGCTTATTGTCTTGTCACTCATTCATCTCAACATCCTCATCTCATCTACACTCAATCTATAGTTATGTTGTTTCTTGAATGTCTAACATTTTGCCCCATAACAGCAAAGTTGGACTCACAACTATCATTTAGAACTTGCCCTTCAGTTTCATTGGTACGTGGTACTTACATAAAAAACTCATGTTGTATATCTTTACTTTGCTCTTCCTCATTTTTTCTTTTTTCTAGATTATCGATCCAAGATATCGAAAATGAACTCTTTTTTATATTTCTTTACTATCAATATGGAACTATTTCAGTGTCCATTTAAAAAATATTAACTTCCTCGTATTTGCCCCTATGATAATTAAGGGATTGTATGCAATGAGACCATTTACCTTTAATACAAGTGGCCACAATTACTTACAACCATTCGATGTGAAATTTCACATCTTTATTTGTCACAAAGTTCGAAAAAATTTCTTTTGAAGTTTGAGCTTGATCAATAAAATAATTGCAGTCACGTAATTATACATCCAATGGTCAAGATCAGTGTTTAAAAACTTGGTGATCCAATCCGAAATCGGCCGATCCAGATGGAGTATCAGCCGGACCATTCGTTATCTATCTACAAAATAGGATCCGGCTATTTTTTACTAGAAATCTCATGAAATCGATTGATGACATCAGGAACCGGTGCCGTGACATCACTAATCAAACACATCATCAGTCATGACATCACATTTTCCACCTTTTGACCGACATTTTTTAGACACATCAACAATGATGATGTCATATTATCGACCTTTTGACCTACTTTTTTTTCTCTTTAAAAAAGATACGTGGTGTACTACCACCAAAAAGTGATTTTCCACCTTTTAACTTACACTCTTTTTTTGTTAAAAAAAACGTGGTAAAACTACTGCCAAAAAGTCATCCAAGACATCTGTGTACTTCTTGCGTGACTGTACATACTTGCTTCATCGGTTAAGACGAAGTCTTGAGCCTACACCGCTTCGACGTGGGATGATATTTCCTTATCCCCTTCTCCCCATCACCGTAAACTCTCGCTAAAAGCTTATTTTCCATTCAAACCTTCTTTACTATTCTAGTTTGCCTCTCTTTCTCCCGCATAAATTGTTCCACATTATTCAATAAATTGGAAATCTAAATTTAGTGTCCAAAAAATTAGAAACACTTGTTGGGGTAAATAAAGTCCGACCACTGAATTATAGGGTTAGTAATACTAACTCATAGGGATATTTAAAAACTAAAAAACTAATACTAGTTTATGGCACATTTAAAAAGTAAATATTAATACTAGTTTACTGGGTATTTTAACAGAAAAAATAATACTAGCTCATGAGATATTTTTTTATAAAAAAAAAGTAGTTCACAGGGCACTTTTAATCCTTACACCCACTTCATAATTATTTTCGAGTTGCTTTATCTACTATTCTATATTCTAAATATAAATTTATTTATTTATTTTAATTTTATTAAAAGATAAATACAAATCTGAGTTTTTTAAATTCTATATTTTTTGTCTATAGTAATTATTACATATTAGAATTAGTTTTTTTGAGGGTCGTACCTTTGTTTTCTCTCTATTAATCAAAAGGTCCAAAGCTATTATACACTTCTTCTTTTTTCACTGTAAATTTGAGTAAGAGAGATACTTTTTATTGTAATGAGTTGCATTTTATATTTTATTTGACTATAAAATTAATTTAATAGATAACATACACTACATTAGGAGACAAGTTTTTAGTACTCATGCATTTTCAATAAACTAATAAAAACTATAATGCAATACCACTCTTTTTTTCTAAAACCCAAAAAAAACTAGATTTCAAAAAATTGCAATAATCTTTTATAAAATTCTTAATATTGCTATTGTCTAATTATTAGGGGAAAAATATTTTTTGAAGATTTTTTAATATCATAACATTGAAATTAATGTCACTGATATAAATGAATGGTTAACACAATCGACATCTAAACATGAAAATAACGTCTCGGATTCTAAGTATTCACTTATTTTTACAAAGTAATGAATGTACATAATGCACTACTTTTAATTTCTTTTAAAAACTAAAAAAACATTATTTTTTAAATTTATATTGATTTTTTTAAAAAATTTGAGATAAAAATTATCAATTCTACCGATTCTATGATCTTATCCACCGTTTCTCCTATCCGACTCGGGTAGAGGTGTTAACGATTCGAGTCACCCGTCCGTTTTCTTAAACCTTAGTGAGCACCTTGTACTATGGTCTTAATTGTATACTTTCCGCTCATTAAACTTGCATTTTATATCCTCGTATTATTGTGAGGTTTGTATTCTTGTAATTATGTAATTCCAGAGTTCGTGCATAGCCAACTTCCAAGTATCATGTTCCTTACTTGTTTTGTTATTGTGACATGCAGGGAATTCTTGCAGATATCTTGGAGCCAATAATGGGAAAGGGACTTGTACCTGCTGATCTTGATACTTGGAAGAAGAGGAGAAAAGGTATTGTTTTTTCTTGTTTGCTGTTTTCTCAACTGGAGGAAAGGTTATCGCACATGAAACTTCTTAGGCTGGACAATGATTGTTCTTCCAAGTTCTAATATTTTTTTACAATATCACAAAAGCTGTGGATTTATTGCTTCTATATATTTGATACATAGATCACATTTACGAAATATTAGTTTGGAATATTCATTTTCTGTTGGTTCTAAACAAAATTTATTTTATTCCTCCTTGTCCAAGAAAATGTGGTTCTTTTACTGCTAATTGATTGGATCACAAGCTACTGCTAATTGATTGGATCAGCGTTAAGTGTCATGGAATTGTTGAATGTCTCAAGTGATGGGGAAGTTTAGTAATAATGAAGACATCTTGCAAGAAATGTTGATACGAAAATTCAATTTTATGAATTTTTGATGAGCTACAACGTTTAAAGTCTTTTGAAAATTTAAGTCTGATAGGTTTATATACTCTAATTGTTATGGTTTTTATTCCGAAAGATTTTGTGAAAACTGTATGAGAAATTATGTTATCAAAAAATATAGGGGGGCTAGGAGCGTCTGTTTGGAATTACTTCCAGTGCTTTTGTGCCTGTAGGATACTCCAATCTAACTTTTTCAAATTCTACTGCATATTACTTTTTATAAGTAGAACTGTACAAAATTACTTGAAAAAAAACTGGTATTTAATTGTTATTTGAATAAGTTAGGTATTAGTGATGTCCTGTTCCAGCTTAACCATTCTCTTGGTATTTGTTCTTCTAAATGGTGGTTTATTTTCTTTTCATTCTTCTTTTGTGCATGTTAACAATGGGAACTCATGGTTATGGTGGTTGTAAGTGGGTAGGCAGAGTCCCCTTCTATCCCTTTAAATCTCATGTTCAGTTAGAGGGCGAGGTCATGATCATTCCAACTCTTATGAGATGCATGTCCCATCTTCAATAGAGTAGTTATTAATGTATCCATGTACTTTTAAATGATGAACGATTTTTGCCTACTATTTTACACTTTATCTTTCTGGTTTTGCATGGGTCCTTAGGTGTGATGACCAATTCATACTTATACAGCTCATTAGCATTACACCATCTTTGTGTTCACCTATGCTCATTACAATGGGATGAATTTTACAAAATCAAATCCTATATCTGTAGCATTGTCAAAAACCTGTAACATGATTTTGCTCCAAGGGTAATATTCAATAGCCACTATCTGATGGGTGGAGAAGCATAGGTTTGATGGATAGAGTTCAAAAGAATGCTGCTTTTTTCTTTGGAATTTTAATCAGGCAGTTTTCTTGGACATGTGGAATGGGGATGCTCCTCCCAGGCCCATCGTCCTTTTGCTAGGGAGAATAGCTACTCTTGCCTTTGCCCGTTCATCTGATTGTGGGAAGCTTTGTATTATTTTACATGACAAAGTTGCTTTGAGGCTCTAGTGCTCTCTTCCTCAATAACCATCAGTAATTAGTCTTTGAGCAGATAAAGAAAATTTCTTGGGAGATGACAAGACCGTAGGAGTCACTGCATAGTGTATTTGAAATATATCGGCCATTTTTCAGAAAGTTTAGTTAGGGTAAAATAAGTGAATGCATGTAACAAACAATTTTCTTTATGGCCAAGAGATCCACTAGAACATAAGCAAAGCTTTTTTGGTCATCAGAAAATAGTTATCTAGTATTTGAAAACTTGTTGGTTGGAGCTTTAAAACAGGTGAGATGATAAGAAATGAATTGCAGTAACAAGCATGATGTGCAGTTTTTGAGGTTTGTCTCACTTCTTTGAAAAGTAAAAAGATCACGTGAGATTTCCGAAGGGAGCTGCTGCCTGGTTCAAGGTAAATTAAATAGGCAAGAATGGAGGTAGTAACAGGCACATGGTGTTAATGATCCCAAGTATTGCATGTCAAATAATTGGTAGCATTTAGGCTGGTGCAGTCCCATGATATTATGCGTGCTTTACATGAGCTGACTTACTATCACTGAGAAGTGAGAACAACCATAGGTTTGTTAACCATCAACACAAGAATCTGACTGATAAAAAAAACTTTAATAGTTTTGCCCATTCCATAGGATAATATTGGAGGAATCATGTTAAACGGTAATCAGTCATTTGTGGAAGAGTCATTGTAGAGAACCATGGTGACAGGAAATTAGGGCATGACTTGAGATTGGAAAGGGATTACCTGGATAGGAAGATGGAAAAATGCTTGTCTTTTTTGTTTATGAATGAAATGCAGTCGATCATTTTATTTCTTCAATTCTAATTTTCATTTTTCTTAATCTTGTGACTGTATTCATATTTGACATTCTTGAATTGCATATTCCAAAAAGTTGGAATAAAGCTACGTACATCTGATTGTGGCCATTTATGTTGTATTCTTTTACATTGATAGCCACACATTTTGTCCACCATTCTTGGCAATAACTGAATTCTTCAAGATGTACCATAGCATAAATCCTATGATCTTGTAAACGAGAGATGGCTCACGAGGCCTTTAAACCCGTTACCATTTCTAGATGGATGTCAAACTGATATCACTACTCATTGTTCATTAGGTTATACTACCTACGACCTTGAATACTGAGGTTTCATGTTGCCTTTTGTACTACATGCGAGCAATGATCCATCTTCAAGGCAACTAGAGCAATTCCTGGCACAACTCTAATTTTCTCATAAGACTTGAATGACTGACGAGAATAAAAATTTCTTAGAGTACTTTATTGCAGTATGAGATATTTGGTGCATTCTGACGAGTATCTCTAATTTACTTTTCTAGCCTCGCTTTGAAGTCCTTTGTCTCTTGTTCTAATGCTGTCCTCTGTGTCATGCTTCACTATGGCCTGTATAAATTCATATTAGTATGGATTTTGGCAGAAGATTCTGTGGACTGAAATTTGTTCCATAATGTTTTTTTGTACTTTGCAAGAAATTTGGTGTTGGTATATATGCTTATTCTAATCTTCACATTCTTTATTCATGTTTTTCTGTTGTGGCCGGTTATATTTTTTCTTTTGTGCTTGTAGAAGAAAACATTTCTGACGCCACCAAATAAAAAAAAAAGGAAAATAAAAACCTTTTTTTAATGCGGTCTTCATCATACTTGCAGCTATTGCTCCTGCTTTTCATGTTATGTACTTAGAGGCCATGATCAAAATATTCATAGGATGCACAAGACGCACCATGGTGAAGTTTGAAGAGTTGTTTCATGGAGATAATTTGTCTGAAGGGCAATTTATTGAAGTGGATCTTGAAGCTGAGTTTTCAAGTTTAGCACTTGATATTATTGGGTTGGGCGTGTTCAACTATGACTTCAGATCGGTAACAAAAGAATCACCGATTATCAAGGTTGTACATCAGTTTTGTATCTATCTGCTTCGTTTTTTTGAGTGGAACTATTCTGCATATAATTTTAAAGAATTCTAAGCCTGTTTGTATTTTTTGTTCCTATACTTTTCATTTGGCAGCTTGATTCTTACTCTTTATTTTAGATATTTCATGTGTTGGATTTTATATTTGCATATTAGGACATTATCTTAACACTGTACAAGAGTGGCAACGATATTGTAATTTTGTATCACGTTGGAATGACTATCCATTAATAGTGTCCTTTATTCTATAATAATAGAAGCAACCAATTAATCTCTCCTTTTATCTTATTTACTTGATTCTATTGCAGCTTATAGAATTAGAGCTAGGTGGACGAAGTGGGGATGCGCTTCTGGAGTCTATTGTGATCGTTGAATGCCAATGAAACTAAAGGAGAAGTTCTACAAGATGGCTATAAGACCAACCATGCTTTATGAGACTGAATGTTAGGTGGTCAAGAAACAACATATCCATAGCATGAGTGTAGCTGAGATGAGAATGTTGAGATGGATGGGTGGCAAGACATAGAAGGATAGAATTCGAATGAATACATTCCAAGGAACTTGGGGGTAGCTCTAACAAGCGATAAATTGAGGGAAAATAGAATTAGGTGGTCTAGTCATGTGTAGTGTCGACCTAGAATAACATTGGTTAGGAGGGGTGATTTGATTCAAGTAGAAAGCTCTAAAACATTGAGGGAAATGCTCTAAAGGACATAGATGGAAGTAGTGAGAAGAGATGTGCTGACTTATGGCTTGATTGAGGGTATGACCCTTGTCAGAGAGGAATGATAGAAAATGATTCGTGTAGCTGACCTCAAATAGTTGGGATAAGGCTTTGATGATGATGGTGACGACGACTTGATTCTATCGCACATTTTGAATTTTTGCAAATTGATGACACTTCTTTTATTTTGATCTTTGCAAATTGATGATGCAGTCAATTGATTGACTTTGCTCAAGGAACATGAAGTGGGCTTAGGAATAGTTTGAAAATTCTATCCGACATTCTGACTTTTTGCAAATTGATGACACTTCTTTTATTTTGATCTTTGCAAATTGATGATGCAGTAACTTGATTCACTTTGCTCAAGGAACATGAAGTGGGCCTAGGAATAGTTTGGAAATTATAGCCATCCTTTTGTCAAACTGTGAAGCTGAAGCTAAGGTCTTTTGACATCTTTGGTGATGTAAAAGCAAAAGATGACGAGAGCTTTCCAAAAAAGAAATGGAAATAGGATTCCATACTTTAGGTACCAATCTACTTTAGTCGTGAAAGATAAGGACAAAGCTCTAGAGCTTGCCTACCAATTCCATTTTTCTCGAAGTGAATGATTGTTCATTGGGCATTGCACCATGTGGTTATAAAAAGAAAAATAAATTGGGTATCATGCAGGTGATGTTTTACTAACTTGTCACTTAGCATATTGGCAGGTAGTGAAATAAATTTCTCTAGTATGATAGATTTATTATCCCAGAGAAGTTCATTTGTAGTTGTAGAGGGGAATTGAGAAACAAAAGATCGTGCCTACATTGCAATTGTGGAGTTTGCAATGTTATGAACAGGTTTCTTATTCTTGTTCTAGTGAGGAATGGTAGTAATTGCATAAATCTTTGCATTTTTTTGGGCAGAAAAAGAACATTAGAACTGATAAGGTGGGGTTCAATTATTGACTAAAAAAAAAGGCGTTGAGTCATTGAAACAAAGGGGAAAAGAAAAGAAAGAAGGAAAAACACTGGGTTGGCAACATGAAAGGGCAACTCTACTTTCTTATTCCTTCTCTTTTGGGATTTTTCTAGCGTGTAAAGCGCTTTGGGACCATTTTGGACTTTGGTGATTTAATTTTATGTGAAGGATATTAACTAGTTATGGTTTAATGTTGAGATTAGACTAAATGGATGGCTAAAATTTTGTAGGAACCTCTAGAGCTTTCATTTGGTGCTTAAAATCTCTACCTCAGGCGAAAAAAAGAACTTTTGGTTTTGGAAGGTTACTTTGAGAGCAAGGCTTCCAACTAGCTTGGGTTTGAGAGATTAGAATTGAAGATGTTGAAGCCTAAATCTCTGAATCACCTCACTAACATTGTCGCAATAAGTTGGTGCACAAGGACTTGTGTTTTCCTTCTATTGAACTGCTGTTCTCCTTTTTCCAGCAAGGATTTGAAGGTATTTTGTGTGCTTTCAAGTTGAAAACTGAAGGATTTTTTTTTTTGAGAAATTGCTAAGTACACATACTATTAGTTTTTGCATATTTTGTTGTTTGTTACTACTCTTGCCTTTGATTCACATCAAGTTCATTCCTTGCGGTTATTCACGTCTCCTTTTTCTTTGAGCATTTCATACTTCCAATTGATGGCTGCAAGAGTTGTTGGTGGGAACCTGTTGGGGTTTGTGGCTTTTAAAAGCCACAAGATCATGTAAAAAGACATTTATAGTGGATTATACACTTCACTTGGAATGTATATTATTTGACTGACCAAGGTTTAGGCGGTCTATGGCTCTGGTCATGACCAAAACATTGACCCTTGTGCATGTGGCATTATCAAATAGAGTTTACAATAGATCATCCCTTGTTGAGGTTTGACAAATGACTAAAGATGGTTTTTGGGCCAAAAAAACTGTGTGGTCTCGTATGTGCGAATGTAGGCCTGTAAGAGCGAGGGCTAAATCGTCAACAAACTTTTGTATTAGTATGTACATATGACAACTGCATTACCGGGAAGCAGCCTTGAAAGGGATACATGTACATGTACATTGAGAGAATCCCCTTTGCACTGCAGTGACATGTGCTGGACTTGCTCTTAAGGGGAGAACTGTGATCAAAATTCGTGGACAATGGTTCCATAGTTTATTGGCCGACTTTGACGAGCCAGTCATGAGCTCCTACATGAGACTGTAGGCCATGAATCTCGTTGGGTTGGTTTGAGAAGACATATGTGGGTCATGGTCATCTGGTCGAGTGGAGTGCTCTTATAATCACTTTATTTTGACCCATTGGTACCGATCCACTTCTAGATATTTTATTTTCAGTATTAGAGATGTTTCTGTGATTTTTTGGAATTTTGTTTTATAAATTTTTAAATCATTTTCTGTTGTAGAATTCCTTAAAAGGGTATTTTGGATATATTTCTTATAAGGATGGGCACCCCCCATAGTTGGGGCGTGGGGCCTTTGGGAGCCCACATGTCCCAAATGAGTTGGCACACCCCCCTTCTCTCTTATGTTTTATTATATTTTAATTAAAGATGTTTTTAAGTTAATTGAAGATAATCTTTTTAAAGAAAGATTATGTGTTGGAATAGGATTTGACCAAAATTATATTATTTTGACCTCCTAGTAATTCAAAGATGATAAAATAAGTTCTTTAAGGTTTTCAAATTGTTTTAATCCTAATTGGACTAGACGTGGATGTGAGTCAAATATTAAGAGGATAATGTTCCTCTTTAAATCATGATAGCTGATTTGTGAGACGGATGACTTCGATTTTTTTCCTTCCCACCTTATGGATTTCCTACATTCATAGTGGTCAAGGTGACTCATTGGAAAGGCATCCCTAGGTGGGGGTCTTGTGGGCCTATATAAAGAGGTGATGCCTATCTTTCTCTCCTATTTCTCCCTCTCTCTCTCTCCTCCATGCCTTAAGTCTTCTCTCTTCTCTTATGTCTCTCCCTATAGAGGCACGCACCCATACGATAGTCAATAGTGGGTGGCAGGCCATATAAAAATAAATCCCTTGTTAGGGTTTGGACATAGAGAGGCACAGACAACCTAGAAAAAAGAAGGTGCCTTTAAGGCATGCCTAGATGTTCTAAAAGGATTCCTACAAATCTTAATTGTGTTTTGATGCTCTCTAAAACCCTAGATTATGAGATATTGCTTAGAGAAGCTTCCTGGCGCTGAAATTCCAGCAAGACCAATAGGATTCAAATGTGTCATCAGTTAGGGAGTTGGGTGTGGGGTGTACCAAGTCCTGTAGCGATAACCTTGGCACAATCAAGTAAGTCTTCCTGGCTGTTTACTTTATTTTTCAGTCATATTTCCATATTTTTATGAATTTTCAGGACCATTTTTTGTACTTAAATTCATAGTGGATGATTAAAAGGTCCTAGGTTGTATTTAGGGTTTATTTTCTGTTTACATCAGTTTATTGTGGCACTTGTAAGTGGAGTTCCATTTCATTAATAAAGAAAAGAAGAATTTTCGTTGATTTTGTAGACTTAAATTCCGCAGAGCCACACCTTTTAGAATCGTGGCTGAAGGGGTAGGAAAGCGATGACTCTTGATTTGTTTCAGAAGATGCAAGAGTGACTCCAACAACTTACATAGTTGGTTATGCTTATAGTTGTTGGGAGGTGGAGTGGGAGTGGTACATGAGCTTGAGTGGATTGGGAGCTCGGCAGTGACCCATGGCAGGGGTTCCTTACCTTCAGAGCACTTGGGAGCAGCTTGATACATAGATGCATACATACAGACATGCAAATATATATTTTTATTTTTAAATTGATTTATGAATTTGAGTTATGTATTTGTCCACTTTTTAGCATTATATACACGTGCACAATGAGAACTTTATAGTTTGAAACGACCATAAAATATTGAAAAAAATGAGATTCGAGAGTCATGATAAGGATTGAACCTAGAACTCAGCTAAGTCCCTAACCAGATGAGATATGGCGATATGCATGAGAGCTGCCTGTTTCAGGAAAACCTTGGTAATTCCCCCTTCAAGACTACCTTGGCAATTCTCCCTTCGGGACATTCCAGGATTGTAAAGCCCCTCAATTCCATGTTAACTTGGGCGATTCAAAGTATCTTCGCTAGTTTTTAACCACTTAGGCAAACCAAAACCATGAAAATAGGAAACAAATATCTTCTTTAGGTGGTTGTTAACTATAACTTAGATAAAAAAAAAAAAATACTACAAATTCAAAGACAGGTTTCGAAATTCAAAAACTTGGAAACTTCCCTAGTATCGAGATCCTTTCTGACCATGGTCATGCTCCATTTTGAGTGGAGTAGCGATCCCCTTCCAAAGCAATGATGATCCCTTTTTGTCAGGGATTGGGATCCTTACGAAATAGGGATCAAGCCCCCTCGATGCGAGAAATTAGCTCTGTTCAGACTCTAGCTCTGGGATCGTCGGAGCAAGATTCTGAGGGGGAAAGCCACCCCCTCAACCAAGCTCCTTGCAACTATGGTTATGCTTAATTGCTAAAATGGGAGTGATTGTGGCTCTCATCGCGTTAGAGGGGTGATGAATGGTTTGGATCTTTTTGTCGGGGGAGAAAATGATATCTCCAATGATGAAAGTAGAGTAGATTCAGATAGGTCTGTCAAGCGGAATAAGAGGGGACAACTTTGCAAGGATTTGCATTCGACATGTTCTACAAAATAACTGATATGGTGGGAAATGAAATCTAAAAGAGGTATTCACATTCAAATTTTAGAGATTGATTGGAAAATGGAAGATAAAAAGAATTTCTAAACTGGTTGAATCATTGAAGTTATTTTGATTAGTAAGAAGTCCCAGAGGAGAGAGAAGTCAAACTTTTGAGCCAAGTTGAGATGTCCAGCTTCTACGTGGTGAAAATATTGTCAACATAATCATGAAATTAGGGGAAAGGGAAAGTTCAGAAGATGGGATAAGATGAAGGTCAAGTTGAAGGTTCAATTTTGCCTCGAGAATATGTGTAAACTTTGTAACATAAGGTACAAAATCTGAAGGCAGCTGGAGAAGACTATACTTTGATTCATTGGGGTGGGAATGAGGGAGGTTATAGTTTCATGAGTTTTACTCTCCTAGGGCCAGCACATGTTTTGATGGTGAGCTACACATGGATGTTGTTCCATAGTATTTTGAGAACTTATTAAACATTCTTCTTTATGATCTATAAAGTCTTCTTGGCATTTTTAGGCATGGATCTCCCTTATATTGGTTATTATGGCGTAGATCAAGAATAGGCTGCACAATTAGATGATTTTTTTACGTTTCCTCAGTGTAAGTATGTTTATACTTGTTGATTGGCACTAATGAAGAATTCTTATCGTGGCTTTTGCTGTTCCTTGGATGACTTATATACGAGCAATAATACCTGATTTGTGGTATAATACTTAAGAACATTTTGGTTACTGATAGATACTTGTTACTTACAACTTTGCAACTTAATATAGTGCATGCTTTTTATGTTACGGCACGTGTAAATATGCCTATACAGGACTGCTGTTGCAGTGAATATTGCCAGATTATATTTCTATACTAGATGGAATCATTTGAAGTAGTTGAAATTGCTTTCTCTACGAATTTTAACTGCTTTTGCTTGTATATGTCCCCACTTATTAGTTTCTAAACAAAACATTATTTGCAATTTTTATGTCATAAATAACCTTTCAAAAAAGTCATAAGTTGGAGATTTTGTGATTTCGTAGGCACTTTATGGTACTCTGTCTGAAGCTGAACATAGATCAACGTTCTATGTTGCTTACTGGAAACTTCCTTTTGCAAAATACATAGTTCCTCGCCAAAGAAAATTTCATAGTGACATCAAGCTTATCAATGATTGCCTTGATACACTTATCTCCAATGCGAAAGAAACAAGACAAGTAAGCAATTTTATCAGGATTATGTATGTTCCTTCCAAAGAGAATCATCTTCAATTCTAGTGGTTGAGAATTTTTGTCATGTATTTTGTTGAGTTTAGTTTTAATCTTTCATGTTTTTCTGGGCACATGCATGTCGTGATATACTATTAAATGCACAGATTCTTGATTCAAACAAGTCACAATCTATGGCAGCTCGTAACTAGCATATAATGTTATTTTCAACTATTTGAATGTGTTTCTTTCTTCACCCAAAATATTAACAGTTGAATATGTCCTATATAGTTTTGATTATGAGTAATTTGTGCATCCATATTTGCCTTTGGGAACCACATACATACAGGCATGCTGAAAATCATTCATAAATAGATGTTTTTGCAAGTGTGGGTTTTGGCATGTTCATGTTTGGAAGCGCTTTCACTCTATATGATGTTTGTATGTGGCTATAGAAATTTGTTTTATGTTGTGTAGCTCACAGTGTATACATAAACGTGCAGATGCAGTGTACACTTTACTTGTTGGATGTCATTCCATGCATATGCATGTGTGTTAGCAAATGTTGTTTAGAACTTGGAACATAATGTGCATACTGCATGCTGATGAAAATATTCTTTATTTTTTGAACTATCAAATTATGATAGTTCACCTTGTTCTATGATTATCTGACTCCTTAAGTCATAGTGTTCTATCGATGATCATGAAACTCTAATAATATCCCACTAGCGTGACCATGTCCTTGGACTTTGATATTACCTGTTTTAAGGATAATACTGCTGCTGATGACTAGCGTTTCTTTAAAATAAATTATAGTGCCACATTGGTCTGTGGCTTTATATTTAAGCATTACCAAGATTATCTCTACGTGACTAGGGAAATATCATATCCTTTTGCTGGTTTTCGTGTGCAAGGCTTATTTTGCATTTTGTCTCTCCTGGTGAATTCTTCCAGCAATCTGGGTGTTGTTATATGCTCATCTCTTCCCATTTAGGCATTTCTGTTGAAATGTGTTGTCTTTCGTTTTTATGATTATCATGATATTCATTTTTGGGGCACTTGAATTAATAATTTCCGCAATGCATGGGCATGCATATGTCTTGGTTTCTTGTATTTTAGCTTTTCTCGGCATAAGTATGCAAGTTACCAAGATTTTTGTCTCTCTTCAAGGGAATTCGCCACATTCTTCTGTTCTTGCGCATCCTGCTAGTGTCTATCAGTGGCCTCTATCAGCCCATTTGTCACATCATCTCTATGTTGTTGGATGGCACATCATTTTTTTGTCCTACGCATAGAGCTTGAATAGTATAAGTTTGACATTTTATGATTTGATTCTCTTAGTTTTTGGATAATACATGTTTGCATATGTTTCTGTTCTGAAATGTGTCAGGTGCCATCATTTGTCTTGCAAAAGCCGAATATTGTTTTTCTTGCTTTTGTATCATGTTTGCTTTCTAGTTGATGCTGTATGTGACAAGAAATGCCAGATTGGTTCTCAATTCAAACTAATTTACCTATACCTTTTTTATTTTATATTATGACAGGAAGCTGATGTTAAAAAACTTCAAGATACAGATTATGGTATTTTGAAGGTAGGTTTATCATTCTTTTGGAAAGTCGTTTGTTACTCTTCTATTTCCTCTTATTTGTACATATTTTGAGCACAAAATCTGTCCAACTGAAATTTCTTGTTTGTCATTGTGTCAATAAATTGATGCGCAAAATTTTTTTTATACAATTTATTGGAGTTTCCAGCTTCTCACTCTGGGACTATGTTACCAGGATGCAAGTTTACTGAGGTTCCTTGTTGATGTAAGGGGGGAGGATGTTGATGATGTCCAGGTAAGAAGGGAATTCCTTGTAAAAGGAATAGAAGTCCTTGTTGCATGAAGATTAACATATGTTAATAATTAAGTTCTGAAAGGGGATTAAACATCATAATGCAATTCTAATGCTGTGCTCAGATTATTATCTTATATGGTTTTGTTTTCATTTACTTTGGGACAAGTAATCTTTTACTAAATCTAACCAGCATTCCCCTACAGCTTCGAGATGATCTGATGACATTGCTCATTGCTGGACACGAAACTACGTCAGCAGTTCTTACATGGACAATCTTTCTACTTGCGCATGTGTGTAACCAACCCTTTTTGTTATTTTAATTTTTTTTAATTTTTTTTTGGTGAAGCATGTCAATATGCCTTGAAAATCACTTGTATATATTTTTTCTTATTTTGTGGTTATTAGCATATTATTCCTAATAGTTCTTGTGGCTTCGATGCAGCACCCCTCCAAAATGAGGAAGGCTCAAGCAGAGATTGATGCTGTACTTCAATCAAGTGAATTGAATTTTGAAAGTCTTAAGAATTTGGAGTAGGTGACTAATCTTTGAAGATCAACCAACCTACATTTCTTGTTGGGAATCCTTTGTCTTTGAACTGAAACTATATATAACATATGTTATTGTTTTTAAAGTTGCAGCAAACTTCTAAGTATAATGAATATTACAAATTAGAAACATTACCTAAAGGACCTAGTAAACATTGGATATTTTCCATGATTTCATTTTCTCATATATTCCTGAGAAACCTCTCTTACTAGCTTCCCAAACTTCTTTTTTGGTCAAATAATTCCTCAACTTCTATCTTGTCATGAGACCTCAGGTTATCTTGGAGCGTTTGCGTCTGTTTTCAACATGTAATCCCTAAAGCAATAGAATGAGTGGGTTTTGTTTTATGATGAATTTTGGGATGGAAGAATCAAATACTTGAACATGTCAAATCAAACTATGGCTTGTGATTTCTTAATGAAAAACCACTATTGAAGAGGGCATAATTCTGAGATATAGAGTTTGAGAAATTTATTTTGAGGACTTTTTGGGTAAAAATGGAGGTGCTGAAGGATGCTTTAAAACTAGTGAAGACTTTTATGAGGACTAAGATTCGAGGTATCTGATGAGGTATAATTGGTACTCAGAGGGGGACTTGTATCTTCATTTGTCCTTCGTTGTTGTATATACAAGTATTCAACATTTTTATCCTTTTGTAAGCCACTTGTGATTGGGATGATGGAAGAGGATATCAGAATAACGATGCTTGGCTAAAATTTGGATTTTGTTAAAGGTATTACTCTATAAAGATAGGGGAAAGAAGCTTTCTTAGGTAGGGCTATCCATCCTAGTCCTGGAAATTCGGCAGTAAACATTTATAATTTATTGGACTACCATGAGTGGTCAGTACTGATCTAAGCTGTAACTTAGTAAGCATCCATAGGTGTTTAGTTTGCTAGGTTTTTTCTTTTGTATCTTGCGGCTGAAAGGGATTGACATCCCTTGATAGATTTTAGTTGGATGTGTGAGGATAAAAGCTTAGGATCCTTATAAAGCTCGATGAAGAAAGGACACTGTTAGAGGAAGTTGCAAATAATTAGGCTTGTGGATATTTGTGGAACCAGCTTGTAAAGGATTGGATTAAGTGGAATGATCTCATGCATGGCTTCTTTGAATCCTCTCTAAATTTCCAAAAAAAAGAAATTCTGGCCACAAAATTTTAAGTTGCATTTTATGAGAGTACTAAAGAGTCTTGCATTAAATTTCAGCACAAAATATTTTGTGCGAAAAACTACCCTTTTAGTTTTTTATACTTGAGGATTAAGGGATAGAAAGTGGTATATGTTAATTATTGAGGTGTTGTGCAGTAAGTTTTAAGTAAGATAATTCCACTACCTCATTGCAGCAGTATAGAACTTGCAAATGATAGTTATTGGAAGGACTCCATAAAAAATTAGGTTAACATCTGGGACCTCTAGAAACTTTCTTTTACAATGGCTTAGAAGGGAATTTTTCATGGATTGTGTGACTCAATTAATAGATTCTCTATTGTTGAATAGAGAAGAGAGCAAAAGACAGAGGTAGTCCACATACTAAAGATTTGTAGATTTACACTTAAACATTTTACGTTGAGTGTGGTTGTACCATATTGGGATTGGGTGATGGTCTTGAGCCTTTTCTGTTCCACACTAGGGCATAAGAGTTATAAGATATGGTGAACCCCATGGCCATATCTCTTTTTCGTCTATCTCTATTTATTAATTGTTTTTGTGGTTGCCCGTTAGTTTTCGCGTCTTGATGTAGGACAAGATGCCTCTTATTTTTGGATTTTCATGTTTAATTTTAAAAATTTATTTTTGGAACTTTCTTGGGTTACGTTTTTAGGATACTTTTAGTTTTTAGGTATTCTAGGGATTTTTATTTTTAGAATTTTGGGAGTTGTTTAGAAAAGTGGTTAAAAGTGATAAACGAATTATTTGTTTTACCTAGGGTAAAAATGTAATTACAAATTTTATTTTAATTGGTTTTTTATTTCCATTAGAAATAGGATTTCTTGGGTTCTAAGTAAAGTTTGTTATTTATCTATGGGAGTTCTATTAGGGTGTTTTCCATAGAGTCTTGAGTTTTAAGATTTTCTTGGTTTTTATTTCCATTAAAATTAGGATTTCTTGGGTTCTAAGTAATGTTTGTTATTATTTATAGGAGTTCTAATAGGGTGTTTTCCATAGAGTCTTGAGTTTTGAGATTTTCCTTTTCTGGTTTAATAGCTGTAGAGCCATTGGAGCCTGACTTATAAACTTCCTCTTTAATTTTCCAGTAAGTAGATTATTGGAGTTTTTTCCCCATAAAATTCATTCTACTTCACATCCATGTTTATTGGGTTTAGTTTTTCATCTGGGATTTTACATATTATTTTCTTTCAAAGAAGCAAGGGCTAGCATTGTCTATTGGCCTAATAGATCTCAAAATAGGTGGTCTGTGCTTGGAAAGGAAATCTACAAGTTGAACAAGCCCCATGAGTTGGTTTTCCAAGCTCTTGCTTGTTGGACATAATATGTTCTGGACACATAGTGGGCATAAGTTGTTGAAGAAAAGGAATTTTAGTTGATTGTAAACCCTTAGAAACGTGAGGTCAATTTTTTCCCTTTTATAACTTTGGTAAGTCAACGTGATTTAGCCAAGTTCATGTCTATGCGAATGTGAACTCAGGTAAGGACAAAGCATGTTAGACAGTCTCTGTAGGGGCTTTCTATAGATTGAAGAAGGTATTTCTAGCAGCTAACATCGGGATTTGCATCTATCTTGAGATGATTTATTCCCAACAGGATGTTGTTAGCAATGGCTCCAACATAGCACATTTGAGATGATTACTCCAAAAGGGACATGCTGAACCATGGCTCAACATTGAACATTATTGATCAAGCTTTCGCTTAACAATAAGAAATATTGATGGGATTTTCTTCACATGGGGTCTTGACTATGTGTCCCGTCATTTTCACCTTATAAACAAATTCTAGGTAGACACCATTTGTCTTGCAATTGTGAGATTTTTGTCTACTTGTGTGTATCATGGACTAAGGCATGACTAATGGAATCCAAACAAGATCCTATAGTTACTATAGAATCTACAGGTTGTTCCATAGGGCTGTTACCTGGCCCAGGCTGGCCTTTGGGCTTTCGAGACTAGCCGTGTTTTGGGGTGGGTACGGGCCCTATGCTAAGGTTCGGGGATGGGCTTTGCAGGCCTAAAACATTTTCAGGTTGGGCCTAGGCTAGCATTGGGAAATCTTTTTAAGTATATCACATGTAATAAACAACTATTTCCCCATAATTGTATAGGGCCCTGGCCGTTTTTTTCCAGCCTCGCCAAGCTCGAGCTCAAGCTCGGGCTGGCACGGCCTGAGCTTATTAACAGCCCTAATTGTTAACCTTTCTCCTAAAGGATATAGTTGTCTGAACTCCATGATGTCATCGAGGGACTCTAGTATGAGTTCCTTAAGGTCCTAGTTTTATGTCAAGAAAGTAGCACTGAATCATAGTCTGCAGATCAAGATCATGTTATAGGAAACTCCATCATATGTGTTGAAAGAGGGAGGCTCAAGGAGGTCAGAGAAGCTTGGTACCCAAGAAGGCTAAATAAGCCGACCTGAGAGAGGATAGAAGAGGATGTGTTATTTCATGAAGCTCATGGTTCCCTTGAAATCTTGAGATGCTCTAGTATATGCAAATAAGGATGAGCAAGTTCTGGGATAGAAGTAATGGAACAGAGTGAAGTAAATCAAATCCACTCTAAAATACTTGATCAAATTTGGGAAAGGGGTTGGGGCATCAGTGGTTAGGGAGGCGGATGCCTCAACATAATGTCTCACCCTCCATTCCCACCGTTAATATTTAAAAAAACAAAAAGAAAAAAAAAACTTGACCAAATTTTCTCTCATAAGAATCAGAGGAAATTGATCACGTGGTTTGATTTGTAAATTCTCCTTTGCAGCACCCTTGTGTATCTAACAATTCTTAAAATAATTGAATGTTACTCTAGGGATTAAAACAAAATCATAAAATTGTTTTTCTTGGAAGAGAATCATGATTACAAGGATATTTGATCAATAATATGGCAGCACTAAATATCGTGGAAGAAACCCTTCTTATATTGTCATGGAAACTTGTCATGGTGATATCAGTCATTCTACATAATCATGTACAACCCTCTAACTCTAGATTCTGTGACATAATTGGGCATCTAATAGTCGAAATTTATATACTTTATCCCTATGCCTCTGTTTTGTACTGCCTAGCATACATGATTGCAGTACATATTTTATGCTAAGATTGATTGCAGTACATATTTGTATGCTAAGATGAGGCTGAGCTGTGTTGTGGAAATTTTATGTTGTATCTACAACAAATTATGACTATATATATGTTCCAATTCTCAGGTATATTAGGCTTAGTGTTGTGGAGGCTCTGCGTTTGTATCCTCAACCACCACTACTCATTAGACGTTCACTCCGGCCTGATATTCTGCCAGGTCAATCTCTTCTCTGAATCCACAAGTTGAAAGAAATGGAAATTTTCATAAGAATCGGGTTCACTATCATGTTTAATGTATTAGAGTGGTAATTTTTATGTGAAAGGGATTATATGTATCATTAAATATTTTGTTGCTACATGTTTCTCATAGAAAGTTCAACATGTAGAGTAATATTGCTGAAGATCTTTTGCATGCAGAATTATAATCTGAACACTGTCGCAAGATGGAAATTTTGCATTCAGATTATTCAGAAAGAAAATTTTGTAGGCAAATTTATTCAGTTTATTTGTATAAATCTTTATGAATAGTTTGCAATTCATTTTTTTTCTTTTAACACTTTTTTTCTTTTGTTATGATCAGTGGTTTAAAAAACGGATCGGTGACCCAGATCGGGCATCCCAAAAACCGATTCGGATCGGTGAATCGGCGATCCGGATTGGTAATCGGGCCGAATTGCTCTGATAAAGCCTTAAAAAAATTCAAAAAAATTATTAAAATTCATTATAAATGTTGTTTTCTAATAATCCAATAAAAAATGAGGGTACTACATTATTAACTTTCATTGTTTTCATCAATTTATGAATATTGAGATGTTCTTTCCCTGTATGAACTTATGTTGACCATTAAATTTACATCATACAAAAAAAATCATAGAATTACCGTGGATTAAGTATATAATCATATATAGACTACAATAAAGAGTTGACTAAATCGATGAAAAATTGGACACTAAAATCTCGAATTGGCGGAAAACCCAAATCCACTAAGAAAACCCAAATTATTACAACCTAACTAACTATAATATTATATACCAAACAATATTTTATAATTATTTTATTATATAAATAATAACAAATCCAAAATATTTTAGAATATCATCTAATTTAAAATGTATTATTGACAACTGTAAGAAAAATAGTACACTACATGATTTATAATACAAAAATTAATAAATACAATAAAAGATTTGGTTATCAATGTAGAAATTATTAGAATGCGTACCAATTTTCTTGAATTTTTTAGGTTTCTAGAATAAATTAGTGGAAGAGATTGTTAGTAGAAAGAGAGAGATTTCAAATGGCCTCATTGTATGAATCCTATCTTTAAATTAATAGTAGTAAATTTATGTTAAAGACCATCATTTTATAAAAGTAAAAAATATAATTAGACCATTTATTCCTAGGTTGCATGAAAAAATACGTTTTATTTTTTTGACAGGAAATACTTATTGTGTTATCTTTTACTTTTTTTTAAAAGAAAAATATGATACTTGTCTTTGTTTTTTTTTTTGACAAAAGAAGAAGATGTTGTATCACATTTTTTTTTACTTGTTGTATTACTTTTTATTTTTTTTTACAAGAAAAATAAAAAAATGATGCTGCCAAAGTACATTTTATTTTTTTATGCTTTTTGTTTTATTTTTTTGCAAGAAATACTTGTTATCTTACCTTGTATTTTTTTTACAAGAAAAATAAAAAAATGTTGTATTATCTTTTTTATGTTTATCTTGAAAAGCATTTTATTTTATATTTTTTCTATTTTTTTACAACAGTATTTTCTGCCTTTGTTTATTTTTTTGACAACAAATTGTATTTTTTTTACAAGAAAAATAAAAAAATGTTGTATTATCTTTTTTATCTTTATCTTGAAAAGCCTTTTATTTTATAGTTTTTCTATTTTTTTACAACAGTATTTTCTGCCTTTCTTTATTTTTTTGTTGTGCACTAAGGGGTTCGAACTCAAAAAAATTTTTGTTGTGCGCTACAAGGTTTGAACTCAAGACATCCACCGAAAAATCGGTGTTGTCAACCAACCCGGCCACGTCGCCTCATGTAATTCTATTAGCTTCTATAATATTATATATTCAATCATCTTGTTTTAATGATTTTTTGTGGGAATTATGCCACATCGAAGGATGAGTGTTGCTTGGTTCGCTATAAAGTCATATATAATAGACACTCCATTGCACGTGTAGAAAAGTGAGGGGGCAGACGTGAGGTGAGTTACCACGTGTTGCTCCCTTGAGGCGGCCGCGTGTGCCACGTGTCACTCCCATGAGGCGGCTACGTGTAAACCCAAAAAATACCGGTTTTTTTGGTGAGACTCACGATTCACTATTGGGAATCGCTCGGTTCTCTCTGGACACGGGTGATTCTCGGTTTTTTCGTGGAACCGGTTTGGTAGCAGACGATTCCCTAGTCGAACCGGGCGAGTCCGGCTCGACTCGGCGAGTTTTTAAACACTGGTTATGATCTTGGTAATCCAATTATTGTATCTTTAGCTTTTTACATGTTCTGATTTACACATGCACTCTAAAATTGTAGGTGGATTGACTGGAGATAAAAATGGGTATTCAATTCCTGCTGGGACTGAAATCTGTCTTTCTGTAAGTATAGTATATCTCTTGATGTGTCTTTTATGCAGTTCGATGAAGATTTCATATCTAATATGGAAAAATATTTTATTGAACTCAACTAATTCCAATAATGAATACATAATGCTTCATATCCACTTCTTTCAGCTGAAAGTCCATTTTTCATATTTCAGTCAAAAGTTCCTTTTAAGTTGTAATATTAGATTTGATCTTACCAATTTTTCTCTCTTATAAAAAAATATGATTTTTGTTTCAAAATAAAACATATATTAGACTTTTTGCATGTGTGTTTTTTTTGACTTGTATATGCATACAAGAGTTTAAAACTTGGATTATTGGAGACCTAGAAGATCAAAACTTAAATTAACAGAAATCTAGAAGATTGCAACTTGCCCAAACTTGAAAGTTGAACTTGAAATAAAATAACACTCACTTCCATTCATCCAACATTGTGAATATGGATTATGGACCCTATGCTGCATAAAGACTATTGGATTATCACAAAAACAATGAGGCAATAAATTAAATGCCAAATTGCTAATTGAGATTTATCGTCAAGGTCCACATCCTCATCACGAGTATAACCATCTCCATCATTACTGTCCCTTACATCTGATGCTAACTCATCACCATCGGAATGATTCCCCTCCTGGACATAATGCTCTTCTTTCTCCATCTCCTCTGACTGTCTGCTTCTCCTCCTCCTCTAATGTCCTCAAGCTCTTCCTAGAAGATCTAGTGGCCCAAACATGGCTCGATGCGTTTCCAGCTGCTTCATGAACTTGGTCCCAACTCAAACTCCCTATCAGGATGGCATGATCATTTCCAGCATCAACCAGCCATTCACTGAAATTATCCATATCTCTCAGCAGTGAGGTGTATATAAAAGTGCTTGACATTTATAACAGAGTATAATTATAATAGTAATGTAGTATTGTTATATATCTATATTACTACTTCACAATTATGTAAATCAATTACTCAATTCACAAAGTCATAATGAGAAACTACAAAGATTATTTGGATGATGTTTAACCCTCTGCCTTATTGAACTATCTGTCCCAACTATGAGAACTTAAACAAATTCACCGCATTTTTAGGAGCTCTGGGTGTCCCATGTTGGGGTTGTCATGTTGTACATATTGAAACTATCCATGATGCAACCCCTTGGAATTAATCTCATAATAAAGAAAAAAAGGAAGCACGGTTGAGAAAATACGCTGTTGCATGCAAAGGCCTATATAAATATGAACGAGGGGTAAATGCTTTTTTTCACATGATACCCATAGTTTTTTCTTTTTAATATATCTTATCCTTAGCAACCTCCATTGCTTTGTGAATATGACCCATGGGTGGTTCTTTCTTACGACCACCATGCGCAACATCTTCACCACCAAATGATCAAATGCTTGGTGGGAGGAGACCACCCCATTCCAAAACTCGGGTTGTAAAACAATATGAGAAATGGTCTTCCCTTTGTGATGCAAAATTGAATAAACAAAGAAAAGACTCCCAAAAGTTTGATAATTTGATTGAAAATAAAAAGGGGGAACCGTTGAAGCTTATAGGCGAAGCTTCTAGTGTCCTTTGCTTCCAACTAGGAAATACCAAGCAAAGTATCCAAATCTCTGAAAGCAAAAGCCTATACCAACCTATATTTATGATCAAAACTTAGCTTGAATATTAAGAAATCCTAATTCTAATATCTTAGCTTGAACTTTAACAAATCCTACTAGTATAAGTTGAACTCGTAATTACTACTTTTACACCTTTGTCCTTCAAAAAATAAGATAAGATAAATTTGTCTTGAAAACAAATCTTGAGTGGTAGCGTAACATCTAGAAGCCCTGATTTTTGTTTTGATGCCAGAATAACTATTATGGCCCCATTCTTGAAGTGGTAACATGAGTTCTATAATGCAGATTTTGCCCAACTAATTTGGCCAAAATATACTTGGCGCGAGTCTCACCCTGTTAAAGAGAATTCACCCTTGAGTTCTGATCATCTGTGAATTTCTTCAATGCTTCTTCATCAGTTTGCTTTAGCGCCTCTAAATTCCATCAATTCTATGGCTTAAGGTTCCATTGGACCAAATACCGACTATATGAACATTAACGGGAGGTAATGGTTCAAATGTAAATTGTTTTTTGGATTTTCTCTCCCCTTGCTTAGGTACCACTCAACAACTTCTGTATCAACAAGCTCTCCATCAGAGATAGAAGAGGCTCCATACCATTTTGGAAGCTCAATCTTGCATCGTTACTGTTCTTCTAGATCACTTGATGAGGGCCAATTTTCTTGTACTTGAGCTCCGGATATGTACTACTAGGGAAGTGCTCCTCTAAAGTCAATGAAATCTATGACTCAAGTTTTCCCTTCCATTGGACCAAATACGGACTTTGGGATTAACTAGGGTGGTGGGGTGGAGGGCAATAATGGTCTGAATGAGGAGAATCTTTTGGATTTTTTCACCATCCTTCTTAGGCATCCTTCTGAAGGTGTTCAGTTCAGTCTTCAACATCATCACTTACTTTCTCTTTCTTGGGTAGAGGAACTAAATATTAGCACTTTGTGGGGTAACTGCATATGCATTTTCTCAAAAGTTGACTTTCTTGTGTATCAATTGACTATGCTATTACAAGAAAATTCTGCTTGAGGCGAAATGTGATCTTATTATGAAGGCTTATCTCATGCGAGGCTCCTTAATAGATTCATACTATTAACAACTTTGGTATGATCATTAGTCTTGGGATTACAAGCATTACTATACTGGAGCCATGTGCCTAACGCCTTCCTTGGGGTACAGTAAACGTGCTTCATGAACCTCGTAACTTGATCAAAAGTAATGGCCTTAGGAATTCCACGTAGTTGAATGGACAATTTAGCTACATGCTTGCATCAAGAGTGTTCTTGCAAGGTATAAAGTGATCCATCTTCGAGAAACGATCCACCACCACAAGTATGGATCCTAGGAAGTTCCATCACAAAGTCCACACTGGCATTTGTCATGACGCGGTACGAATTGACAGAGGGAAGTACAAGCTACGAGCCTTTGACTAGCTGATAGGCCCTGTATCCTTCTACATATTGGCTAACATCTTTCTCGAGTTTTGGCCAATAATATTTCTCATGCGCCAGGGAATGGTTTTGTCTAGCTTTAGTCTAGCCTTAAGTGTCCATTGATGCTTCCCCACACAACCCGCCAATGATTTGAATTCGAAGAGACCCATGTAGAATGCATAGCAGGCTTTCTTAAGCAGAGGTTAGTGGCATTTGATTGGGGAAAGACTCACTATCCAACCAATGAAAGCTCAAGAAAACAAGATCTCTTGCTCAATGCATCAACTGCCTTATTTCTACTGCCCAATTATGCCAATAACAAAAGAAAACCTCTACAAATAAGGAAATCCATTCGTGTGACCCCTGTTCAACCTTTCTTGAACACTAAAAAATTTCAACGCCTCATGTTATGAAAGATAAACTCCCTCCGGAATTCCGGATGAGATAATGTCACCAATGCCTGCATTATAGCATCAATTTCATGGCACAAGTAGAGCACTGAGTCTTGGATTTATTCAACTTTTCATGAAAAAGGCTATGGCCTTACCTTCTTGGCTAAGGACAACCCCAATACTCACATGCAAAGCATCACTCTACTTGGAAAACAACCTAGAAGATCCAAAACAGAAGCAGTAGTCATCTTGTCTTTTATAAGCTTGAAGCTCTCTTCAGCTACACTTGTCCCCTCAAATACTTCCTCATGCAATTAGTGATAGGTGCAATGATAGAGTTGAAATTTTTGATAAACTTCCTGTGAAAAGTAGACAAACCAACTTCTCACTTCTCATGTTTTTTGGTGTAGGTCAATCCACAATTGTTTGTATCCTAGCTTGATCAATTTTAATCCCTTTGACTAAAGCAACAAATCCCATAAATACCAAGCTGTCTCTCATAAAAGAACAAGTTTTGAAGATTCACGAATAACTTCTCCTTGCAAAACTATGCTCCCTCCAAAACTTGCCTTAGATGGTCCAAATTCTCAACATCACCAGAGCCGTATATAAGAGTGTCATCAAAATATAGTACCACAAATTTACCAAGAATAGGGCAAAGCACCTGGTTAGTTACTCTCATAAAAGTACTTGGGGCATTCGACAATCCAAATGACATCACAAGCCAAACATACAAATTCTCCCGAGCTTTAAGAGCTGTCTCCCACTCATCCTCAGGGAGATTTTGCATCTGATGATATCCACTTATCAATCAAATTTGGAAACCCTGATAACACATCAAGCATATTATGTAGACAAGTAGTAGGAAAGCAGTTCTTGACTGTAATCTTATTGATTACCCTACTATCCACACTCACACTCATGCTCCAAGAACCATATTGCTTTGGAGATAGAGGGTATGGACAAATCATAGATGAACTCTCTCGAATTAACCCCTTATTTAACATTTTTAGTTCTCGATGCTGTTCTTCATGGTCTTTTGGACTCATCCTGTTAATAGGGCAGGTTAGGAAGAGTAGCACTAGGGACAAATCAATGCGATCTTGTAATCTCTCATGGGGATAAACCATTATGCAACTCCTCAGGATAGCATCTACAAACTCCTCAATTAACGGTGAAACAGGGTCTGGAATAGAATTAAGACAAGAGTCACCCTTTTCTACTATAGATATAGAAACTGATTTAAAGAGAATATAACCATAGTTGCTGGGGTCTTCCCTCCTAGGTGACGATCCTACTCTAGAATCTCACTCCAGCGCTCCAAGAAAGGGATCTTCAAGGAATCTCAATTTTAACTTTTGGTACATTGATCCCTACTGTTAGGTATCTTAATCCCCACCTCGGAGACCATGACAACGAGCAAATTGATAATCTTTTAATTTATAATCACCTAGCAATACAACTATACATTTTATAGTGTTGCATTGCTTGATGGTTCTAAGTAAAGAGATCCTTACTTTAAAGAATGCATATAGTCATAGACTGTATATATTGTTTACG